AGGGGACTATGCCGACGAATACCCAAAAAAGGCCACTTCATCTGTGGGAAGTGAGAGGATCTCAGGTATACAACAGGAACAGACCTCTTTCTCACCATTGGACTTCCATGATGGCTACAAAAAAAGTAAAAAAGGCAAATAACTCCCAAAATAAAGTAAAAATAAGTTCCAAGCATATGAGGCAGGCTAGAAGAAGTTGGCAGTAAAGGCGGAAGCTTTTGAGGAAGGAAAAAAAAAGAAAATGACAAAAAAGAGGGAGCATTCAATATAGCATAAGCCGATCAAAGCAGAATAGCATGGCGAAAAGGAAATTTAGAAAAATGGTCCAAAAAATCAAAATTTTGAAAAAGACATAGCACTTCAGCAAAGGAGAGCTATTGGTCACTAGGCACTAGAAAGTTGGAACCAAATATCGTCGAAAAAAATACATAAAAAATATAATATATAAAAAATCGTCGAAATCGCTGAAACTTTTCGAAAATCTAGAGAACATTGTAAAGATTGAAAACAAGAAAAATTGCAACGAAAAAATGCAGGACAAACGAGTTGAAGATGTAAAAAAAAATGAAAAAAACCCAATACTATTGGCTATACGGATGTAGCAAAACCTTTGGAATAGCAAGGGCCAGTCTGGATTCAGCACAGGGCAAATTACCTCTCACTCTGAGTAAGAAGTCATAACTGCAACTTACCGAGTATCATTATCACAGAATCTGAGCAGTTTGGCGACTTTTGGAGTAGCTCGGCTTTGCCGGCTGTCCCGAGCCTGTACGGCGGCAATGAATACGTAGTGTTGATAGTGGAATATACTCAAGTACCGAACAGGAAACGATGAACGAAGTTCTGCTCTAAGAAACACAGCTGCTTCACCCTCCAGACTACCTAAAAACGAGTGGAATCCAAGCGTTTTCCCAGCTAGTTCCCTAGAGAGACATACCTGCATTCACCACGGACAATCCGGGAAGTTCACGTAGCGCCACGGCCGGGAACGGATCTCTGTACGGTGAGTCACCCGAATGGGATACAGCTATGGCTAGGAGTAATGGTGAGAGCCTCAAAGAGACACATGATGCTGTTGGAGAGATTGCAGCGACCGGAACGTCCCCAGATGATGTGAGCGATAGATTTTGGAGCGAATAAAAGGAGCAGGCCCCTGAAGTTACAAAATGTTACTCGAACGTCCGATCGATCTATCAGGGAAATATTCAAAGGTCAGTGCCCTTTCCCTCAAATGTCTCCTTCGGGAGTAAAGATTCCACCCAGAGATAACGTTCCCAAGTGAGAAACGATCACAACAAAAACAAAGCTATGTCCAATAAAAAAAATAGCGAGAAAAAGTTGCAAAAGTCACAAAGAGGGCCCATTAACGAGAGAGACTTTCCTCCAGAGTGCCCATCAGGAAAAAATCGGACCTAATGACCACATACCTTGCCTGACAGAACCACAGTGAAGTACAGCATTGGGGAGAACTTGTAGAACTTTGTTGTAATTGTCGGTATCACGAAGTACCGCATCTTTCAGACAACTGCTCCCGTCGACACTGCACAGGGGAGAATCCCGAACTGGACCCGTAGAGACTGAATGGAGTGGTAGGAGTTCGTCGTCGGAAAGTACTGCTAGCTCGTTCACCGCCCCAATGTAGACCTAGAAATCGGTAGTTGAAAGAAATAATTTTTCTTAAGTTTTTGGAAAGAAGTTTTATTTTTTGAAGTTTTCACCCCGCTCTGTTTGACTTAACTGCAATGAGGGTGCTATAAAACTGTTGGTAATTCCCTATGTCGCTAGTAGTAACCCCTGGAAGACGGTTGGGCGCGGACATGGGTGAACTGTTCGTGTTAGTATCGGAAATCGAGATTAAGGGCTCGTAATTCGAATTGATTCGAATTAAAACGATTGTAATCAGAAATAGCGATAGCGAATACCCAAGAACTACTGGAAACCGGAAACCGGAAAGTGGAAATCCATTCGTTTCGGTTAGGCGCTTCTTTTCGTGTTTACACTCTCAGTTCAAAGCAGATTCACTATTATTTCTTATTTGTGAAACCAGAATGAAAAGCATTTTGTCAAACAGTTTTTCCGAACTTGTCGACATTTCCTTTAAATTTTTTTAAGTCCGTTTTTTCTCTTTTCTCCGTTTTTTTTCCTCTCCCAGTGGCTTGATATTTTAGCTTCTACTGGCCCCTCCGAGGTGTTTTGAATGAGTGAAAAACAAAATTTTCGGGAGCTCAATACAATACCAAGAAATGACGGAGTATCAAAGGCTCCCTTTCTGTATTACACCCATAATTAGTTGTTAGGAAGGCATTTGCATGATGGTGCCGAGATTAATTAGAGTAGGAAGGATTCAGACACAAACAACCGGCCATAAGAATAACAAAAACAACTAAATAACTGCAAATACTACATTATTCTGTGAATGTGAAGGATGCCTAAGGCAAGGACTGAATTACACAAACATACGATCCCTCCTCTCCCTTGCAATCCTACTTAGAATGCGCCTAGACTGCAAGGGTTGGCAATTCCGGCCCGATTACCTTAATCGAGTCATGGATTGACCTGGAGACGCATGGGATAATCCTCCAGTGAAAAGTGACAAAATGAGAATGACCTAGGGCCGTAGAAATATTATCTAACCATCCAAGCACCAAGAAAGGCAGACAACGAAGCTCCAAAAGTGGTCACTTCCACAGCACATACATGCTCCTTAGCTTTCTCGGAATAAAGACATCGAGGGTATCGTCAGGGTGATCTTCTAATAATTTTTCCCCCACAGGACTCCTCCTTGGCAGAAGGGGACTTAGCCATGGGTACGACCCCCGTATGGCATCATTGACAGGCCCTGACACCTATTGTTAGCTTTACTTCACCACGACCTTGCCCCTCTAAAAATAATGGACTCGCCACCCAAAACTGATTTTCATTTCCATCGAGTCTTAATCTTGTCTCTTTTAATTGATCACCTTTACTACTAACCCAAATAAATAAACTTTGAAAAATAACCTTCCATTGCCTGAACCTATTTGCTTATTGAAAGTTACTCAAGTAAACCTTCCCCTTCTTGAACAAAGACTATCAAGCCGGAAATGGTGACAGATCGATCAGCTCTTAATTAAGTCCGAATAGGGCAGCGGTTACCCAATCAGCAGAAACAAACTTGGTCTTTGAGGAATTCTTTTTTTTT